GTGCTGTTGACTCAGTTCTGACTCATAGTGACCCTGTGTACAATATAACAAAACACTGCCCAGTCCTGTACCATCCTCACAATCGTTGTTACGCTTCAATCCATTGTTGCAGCCAATGTATCAATCCATCTCGTTGAGGGTCTTCTTTTTCTCTGATCCTCCACTTTACCAAGCATGATGTCCTTCTCCAGAGACTGGTGCCTCCTGATAGCATGTCCAAAGTACATGAGACAAGGTCTCACCATCCTTGCTTCTAAGGACCATTCTGGCTGTACTTCTTCCAAGACACACTTGTTCGTTCTTCTGATAATCCATGGTATATTCCATATCCTTCACCAACACTATAATTCAAAGGCATCAGGTCTTCAGTCCTCCTTATTCATTATCCAACTTTCACATGCATATGAGGCAACTGAAAATACCATGGCTTGGATCAGGTGCACCTTAGTCCTCCAAGTGACATCTTTGTTTTTGTACACTTTAAAGAGGTCTTTCATAGCAGATTTGCCTGCTGCAATGTGTCATTTGATTTTTTGACTGCTACTTCCAAGAGTGTTGATTGTGGATCCTAGTGAAATTAAATCCTTGACAACTTGAGTCTTTTCTCCATTTATCATGATATTGCTTATTGGTCCCGTTGTGAGCATTTTTATTTTTGTTATGTTCAGGTGTAATCCATACTGAAGGCTGTGGTCTTTGATCTCCATCTGTAAGTACTTCAAGTCCTCTTCACTTTCAGCAAGCAAGGTTGTGTCATCTTCATAACGCAGGTTGTTGATGAGTCTTCCTCCAATCCTGATGCCCCGTTCTTCTTCATATAGTCCAGCTTCTCGAATTATTTGCTCAGCATACAGATTGAATAAGTATGGTGAAAGGATACAACCCTGATGCCACCTTTCCTGACTTTAAACCACACAGTATCCCCTTGTTCTGTTTGAACAACTGCCTATGGGTCCATGTACAAGTTCCACATGAGCACAATTAAGTGTTCTGGAATTCCCATCCTTCAGAATGTTATCCATAATTTGTTACAATTCACACAGTCGAATGGCTTTGTATAGTCAATAAAACACAGCTAAACATCTTTCTGGTATTCTCTGCTCTCAGCCAAGATCCATCTGACAACAGCAATGACATCCCTGGTTCCCCGTCCTCTTCTGAATCTGGCTTGAATTTCTGGCAGTTCCCTGTGGCTGTACTGCTGCAACCGCTTTTGAATGATCTTCAGCAAAATTTTACTTGCGTATAATATTAATGACATTGTTTGATAATTTCCACATTCTGTTGGATCACCTTTCTTGGGAATGGGCACAGATATGGATCTCTCCCAGTTGGTTGGCCAGGTAGCTGTCTTCCAACTGTCTTGCATAGACGAGTGGGCGTGTCCAGCGCCACGTCTGTTTGCTGGAACATCTCCATTGGTCTCCGTCAGTCCCGGTACTACATGCTATTGCACAGGGAAGGCAGCCAGCCCCTCACAGAGCTCCAGAGGTACTTTAGACGCTAAGGGACTTCCTGTGGTTTCTCACTGAGTCCTTTGAGTGTTGCATTTAGGGCGTGGGAGCCAGAAGAGGAAAGGTGCTCGAGGGAGGGGAGGCTTTGTCAGGCTGAGCCGCTGATGGAGGGACCGAGACAGAAGGGACAGGAGCCTGAAGCCCAAGGGGGCACTTTGGAGTGCTTTGTCACTCACTCTTAGCAAGGCCTTCTCCCATCTGTCTGAAAGCAATTAAAATCAGAGGACTCCTGTCCTGCCTGGGGACAGTGCACCCGGCCATTGCCCACCCAGGGGGGCCACGGGGGAGAAGGGTGGTGAGGGAGAAGGGAGGGAAGGCCATGGGGGAGGGGGCACTGGACGGAGGAGCCCTGGGTTTGGAGGGCGACAGTCAAAGCACAATCTGGTTACCATGTTGTCTTAGTCATCTAGAGCTGCTATAACAGAAATACCTCAAGTGGGTGGCTTTAACAAACAAATTTATTCTCTTACAGTTCAGGAGGCTAGAAGTCTGAATTCAGCATGCCAGATCTAGGGGAAGGCTTTCTCTGCCGGCTCTGGGGGAAAGTCTTTGTCTCTTTGCAGCTGTTTCTTGTTTCCCTGGAGATCTCACATGGTGTGGCATCTATCTTCCCCATCTCTGCTTCTTGCTGCCTTGCTTCATCTGCTCTTTTATAGCTCAGAAGAGATTGACTTAAGACACTCGCTACACTAATACAGCCTCATTAATGTAGCAAATAGGATTATAACCACCAGGTATGAAACCCAAAAACCAAACCCATTGCCATCCAGTTGATTCAAACTCATAGCAACCCTATAGGACAGGGTAGAACTGCCTCACAGGGTTTCCAAGGAGTGGCTGGTGGATTCGAACTGTCGACCTTCTGGTCAGCAGCCAAGCTCTTAACCACTATACCACCAGGGCTCCAACTACAGGTGTAGGGGTTAGGATTTATAACACATATTTTGGGCAGACACAATTAAATCTATGACACATGTATTTAGCAGAGGTTAAGCCCTGTCTCCCACCAAATGTTAAGCCCCAAGAGGGCAAGAACACATGAGCCGGACCCCACTGTACCTGGCAGAACTGCAGCCTGACGCGCAGCAGAGCCTCAGTCATATTTGTTGAATGAACTAACCCAATTCCACGTCTGGGAGTTTTCTCCTGTGAAAGGAGAGAGCACAACAGCGGACATCTGAGGACCCCTGCAATGCTAATACTCAAGATTCTAGAATTCTCCACTGCCCACCGGAAACAGAAAAGGAGAGAGGAGCAATGGCTAGGATTTCTATAGCAGGTTCTCCGTGCCCTAGCTAGCCAGGGGCTTTCTGAAGCAGGGATGCCTTGCTCTGATACTGTAACCTCAGGACAAGTCCCAACGTGGCTGATCATGCTTCCAAGTGTTCTGGTTACACTGAAGACTCATCTATAGGGGCACCGATGCTGTTTGTGATGGACACATTACTCCAAATCTCGATTCCACAGGAACTACCATTCCAGAGGGGATATTGTAGCCGTGACATTAAGGGCTGGAGGTTAGCAGGGTAGCCCTACCGTCTCTCCCCCAGCTCTCACTAGATAGGGGAAGCACCGTGCAGTTATGAATGAACGTGGGGTGGGGTCAGAGAGCTGAGTGCTGCCTGTAGGCTGACTGTGGCACCCAGGGCCAGCCAATGGACCGACTCTGAGAAGTGTTCTCACAGATTAGGGGATTTCAGGTCCTTTTTTTTTTTTTTTTAATTTAAATTAAAATGGCTTTAGGGAAGGAGTATGCTTTCCAGTGACCAGTAACCCACTGCCATAGATTCTGAGTCCTGGCAATCCCACCTGTGTCAGAGTAGGACAGGGCTCCACAGGGTTTTCAATGGCTGTAATGTTAGGGAAGTAGATCGCCAGGCCTTTCTTCCATGGCACTGCTGGGCAGATTCAAACCCTCAGTTACACCCATTTTCACTGCCCTCCGTCAGGTGGCCTCACCTAGTTGTGTGCCTGCTTAGCCTCTGAACGCAGCCGAGGGCGCCCCGCCCCGCAGAGCTGCCCCCGCCCCCCGAGGCAGGCCACAGGACACACCCCAAAGGCATTCAGAGGAACCCTTCCCCAGCTCCTGTACCCGGATTTTCCATCTGTACCCGCATCTCCCTAGAGCAGCGTCTTCTCAAGGTAGAGTCTGCAGACCATCTGCCTGAGAACCACCTCTGGCCTGTTAAAAGCGCAGTTTCCCAGGCCTGCCCCAGACTCGGGGGAACAGTATGTGGGGGTGCAGCCCAAGGATCTGCATCTAAACCAAGCTTTTTAGGCAATTAGTATTCACACTAAATTTTGAAAATCACCTTAAAGAATTAAAGTCTAAAATAGTGTATAAGACCACTATTATAAGAACTCAAGAAGAAAAGTTTTAAATACAGAAGAAAACATTCTTTGATGGTTACCAGGGTGGGGACGGAGGGTGAGGGTTATTTACTAACTAGATAGTAGATAAGAATTACCTTAGGTGAAGGGAAGGACAGCACACACTACAGGGGAAGTCAACACAACTGGACTAAAACAAAGCTAAGTTTCCTGAATACAATCAAACACTTCGAGGGACAGAGTAGCAGGGGTAGGGGTCTGGGGACCATGCTTTCAGGGGACGTCTAGGTCAACTGGCATAACAAAGCTTATTAAGAATATGTTCTGCATCCTACTTTGGTGAGTGGCGTCTAGGGTCTTAAAAGCTTGCAAGTGGCCATCTAAGATGCATCAATTGGTCCCGACCACTTGGAGTAAAGGAGAATGAAGAACACCAAAGACACGAAGTATTAGCCCAAGAGACAGAAAGGGCCACATAAACCAGACTTCATCAGCCCGAGACCAGAAGAACTAGATGGTGCCCGGCTACCACCAATGACCGCCCTGACAGGGAACACAACAGAGAGTCCCAGATGGAGCAGGAGAAAGGTGGGGTGCAGAACTCAAATTCTAGTAAAAAGACCAGACTTAATGGTTTGACTGAGACTGAAGGGACCCCAGAAGACACGGCCCCCAGACTGTCTGTTAGCCTAGAACTAAAACCATTGCCGAGGCCAACTCTCCAGACAAAGATTAGACTGGACTGTGGGACATAAAATGATGCTCATGAAGAGTGTGCCTCTTAGCTCAAGCAGATACATGAGACTAAATGGGCACCTCCTGTCCGGAGGCGAGATGAGAAGGCGGAGAGGGTCAGGAGCTGGTTGAATGGACACGGGGAATCAGGGACAGAGAGGAGGAGTGTGCTGTCACAGTACAGGGAGAGCAACTAGGGTCACATTACAATGTATGTAGAAAGTTTTGTATGAGAAGCTAACTGGAATTGTAAACTTTCACTTAAAGCACAGAAAAAAAAAATTGGGAAAAAAGAATTAAACTCTAGCTTATATAAACCTCGCATACCGGTTAGTGATAAAAACAGCTATGCACGCCAGAAAATCAAGAGAAGCTTAATATAGTGAAATTCATTTCAAAATTTATTTTAAATCTGGAATATTTAACTTTTCACACAAACTTAATTTTAAAAATAGCCACTTGCCATTTTACATACAAAAGATTGAAGACAACATTCTCAAAGTATAGCGACTTGGCCCCGTGTAACCACAGTGAGAAGGGCAGAGAAACCCTGTCAGCAGACAGCCCCGAGTCCCTCAGCCCATAGCCTCCAGGCACAATGAGCTCACTTGGTTTTTTATTTTTTAAAAATACAATTTCTCTCAAAATTCATTTCTAAGGGTTGAAAACCACATTAGGAGGAACAGTTCTATTAACTAAGAGTAACGGGGAAGGTTCTCCTCTGCTCAGAATTTAAGGAGTGGGGAGTCCACGTTCTCCTTGTCGGCGGCTGGGCTCAGCTGGATGAGAGGAGACGCCAGGTCTATCAGCTGGAAAAGAGGGACAAGGAGGTGAATGCAGCGTCCAGGCCAGCCTGCCCACCGCACTGCCCACTACATCTCCTGGCCACGTCCTTGGAGGACTGTGGCCACCGGGCACCCTCTCCAGCTGTGGCTCAGTGCCCTAAAAACAACTCAGTAAGCCCGGTTCAGGTGCTGAAAAGGAATATCGGCCCTCGGGTCTAGGAAGCCGGCAGGAACAAATGACATGTACTGAGGGCCCCAGAGTCCCTTCACAGCTGTGTGCTCCCTCGTGCTATCTAAGGCACCAGGGGACGTGGGGTGGCAGAGACGGGATAAGCCCCCGGGAAGAAAGAGGCTCTGTAAACCAGTGCGGGGCTCCTCAGTGCTGGTCAGTCAACCTCGAGGGGTGAACGCCACCACAGGTGAGCCTGGCACCGAGCCGCCTAGCTCTTAAAAGCCTAACGGGCACTGCCAAGCTCACCGTGATGTGTCCTGGGTCTAGGAACAAACGCGGAACTGAGACCACCCCAGGCTGAAGTCAGCACAGTCCCCTGGCCCTTCTCACCTGGCCCACTACTTGCAAAGGCTTCAGTGCAACATCTTTATTCATGTCTGGAGTGTTTATCATTAGGTCGATCAGAGGTTTACTTTCCGATTCCAAAGCCACTGAGGGTTTCAGCAGAAGCTGGCCTCCATTGGCTTCTGGGGTATTGCAAAAGTCGATGAGCAGGGGGTCAGCGAGGGGCCCGCTCTCAGCCTTCGGGGCAATGGTAAGCTGATTCAGCTGGGTATCTACAAGAAGAGCCTAGATAACAACACAAGACAGGGACACCGGTCTTATCAAAGAGATGGCGGCAACTTTTAGTCAGTCATCCTGGGAAACGCATCCTGGCTTGTCTCGGGAGCACCAGCACTTTGGCAACCCGAGGCAGGAGAGCCAGAACGGGGCCTTAGTGGGAGTAAGTGCTGGCCTGTGGTGGGTGTGTACTGACCCATGGTGTCCACCTCCCTGTACACACCCCTCCTGCCAACAGCCAACATCTGAGTGCCCCCTGGCCCTTCCTTCCTACCTCGCTTTCCACGTCCCTTCCTTTCACCCCTGACCTCTCCTCTGTCAAACAGAGGAAAAGAGGTGTTGCTTTTTTCTTCTCTGGAAGCCCAGAAGCCTGGTTTCCTCTCTGACAGCTGGATCTGGATCTGCAGAGGCAGCTCTGCAGGCTCCCATCACTCGGGTCTCCATGCCCACCATCGTGAACCCGGGGGTGGACACGCCCACCTCTGCTACGGGCAGGGGGTGGGGTGGTGGAGGTGGGAGTGGGGGTGGACACGCTCAGCCCCTCCCCCCCACCCCCTGCTAACCTGGAGGTGGATATGCCCACCCCCCGCAACCTGGAGGTGGACACGCCTACCTCCCCAACCTGGAGATAGACAGCCCCCTAACCTGGGGAGTGGACACGCCTACCCCCACCCCCGAGGCGGACACACCCACTCCCGCTAACCTGGAGGTGGACAGCCCACCCCCCAGGCCCCCCCGTGTCTGGGGACAGAGACGCCCACCTCCGCTAACGAGATGGACACGCCCACCCCCCCCACCGCTATCCGGGGACGGACACGCCCACCTCAGCTAACCGGGGATGGACACGCCCACCTCCGTCAACGGGATGGACGCGCCGACCTCCGCTAACCAGGGCTGGATTCGCCTCCCCAACCTGGAGGTGAACACGCTCCCCACCCCCCACCGCTATCCGGGGATGGACACGCCCACCTCCGCTAACGGGATGGACACACCCACCACCCCACCGCTATCCGGGGACGGACACGCCCACCTCCGCTAACCCGAGTTGGACACAAGCGAGCGACTTCTACTCGTCTTGTACCTCATTCAGGGGTGTGTTTCCGGTTGTCTTTGCTTCAGTCAGAGTTGCTTCTGTGATATTTTTTGAGAAAGTAAAATCTCTTTTTTCTGGAGAAAAGTTAAGCGCCTGGGGCACAGCAGACGGGGGAGAAAAACTGTCAGATGATGGGTCCGAAGGCCTAGAAGTACCCTTTGTGCTGCTCTCGGTGGTTGGCTGGTTTCTGCGGGAGGAAGAGAACAGCCGTGGAGGGACAGTTCTGCACCATGCGCATTTGTCAGGCCGTCACTGCGGGGCAGATCCGGGGAACCGTCGCCGAGTGCAAGGCGCCCCAGCTTGGGTCTGGCTCCACCAGTGGTGGCCTTCCGACCTCGAGGAGTTCACCTTCCTGACCTTAAAATGGGGACTGGATGACTTCTGAGGTTCCTCTGAGCTTCTTCCTTGCCTTTAAAATCAGGAAAGAGGAGGAAGGAGCGTCTCCGGTGTCCCACGAGAAGGAGCAGTGACCCACCCAGGGGTCCTACTTCTCAACGGCCACCCAGTCACTATTTCCTGTTGCTGTCACTACAAAACCTGCGTGAGCATCTCCAGATGGAACAGCCAATGTTCCCCTTCCATGGGACAAAAATCCATGGCGGGATACGTGTGATTTGTTGATGAATGGCCTTCCAAAACGTATGCTCCCAGTCCACATTTCTACTCGCGATGTTCCAGAACACCCTTCCCCTCATCCTCCCCAGCTGGTGGGAACACTGAGGGTCTACAAAGAGACCTCTCCTAGTTACCGGGATCAGGATTTCCCTGCCACTAGTGAACTTGGGTCTCTTCAGATGTTGGTGACCACCGGGATTGGCCGATCTATGAGTTTATCTCATTGTCTTTGCCTGTTACCGTGCTGTTTACATTCAACCGGTTTCCTTTTGTGTTTTCAGCCATACAGCTGACTTTTCTTAATTTCAGTTTTGATGAAGGTCTCCTTCACACAGTCTACTTTTTCTCCTTTTTTTTTTTTCCTGTTTAAGTCGCTAATTCATCTGGAATTTATTTCTCCATGATGTAAGATGGAGTCCAATTTAATTTTCTTCCAGAAAGATGACAAGCTATTTAAACCATTTATTAATAATCCATTAGCCTCTCCCTGAATCAGCCTATCACATTTGTCATATTTCAAATTCTTATACTTACTGGGAATTTTTCCAGCATCCCTATTCTGCTGCCTGACCTATTTCTGCATTCCTGCGCAGACACTGCGTTCATCTGAACTCTGCGTCTCCAACAGCTGATGAGCAACTCCTCCCTCACTGTGTCCCCCCAGCCCCTGCCCCCCGCCCCGGACATTTGTTGGCATTCTCAGGCATTAACTCTTCCTTATGAACTTTAAGATCATTTTATCCAATTAGAAACAGAACCGTGTTGGGGTTATAACTGGAATCACAGTAAACAAATAGATTAGATTTGGGAGAACTGCCCTCTTACTATAGTAATTCTTCTCATTCAGAAACATGACGTACCTTTCAGTACGTCCAGAGCTTATTTTCTATTCTTGGATAAGAAGTAAGAGCTTTTTAAATCAAGGTACTGTGCCTTTCTTATTAAATTTATGCTCAAGTATTATAGCTTTTATCTTTTATTTGAAATGGAATATCCCCACTGATATCGATACAATAGAAAGAAATTACTGATGTCTTTTTCTATACTTTCCCATCTTCTTAGTGGCCTCACTGGGAATGCCTACTAAAGTTTCTTCAAATGGCTTTTCGTTATCTGCTGTGATTGTATAGTTTTTCTCCCTTACTGTGCTTATGTAGATCTCTGGATATTATGGATTGAATTATATCCCCCCAAAAGAAATGTGGAAATCCTAACTCCTATACCTATAAATGGAAACCCTGGTGGTGGAGTGGTTAAGAACGCGGCTGCTAACCAAAAGGTCAGCAGTTCAGATCTACCAGGTGCTCCTTGGAAACCCTATGGGGCAGTTCTACTCTGTCCTGTAGGGTCGCTATGAGTTGGAATTGACTTGACAACAACGGATGTACCTATAAATATGACCCTGTTTGGAAATCGAGGTTTTCTTCTGTTATATTAATGAGGTCATACTGGAATAGGATGGGTCCTAAACCTAGTCACTTCTGAGTGGTGTCTTATAAAAAGAGCCCAACAGACACAGACACACAGGGGGAGACAGACACCATGTGAGGAACCCTCTAGAAGCAAAGGAACGCCAAGGATATCCAGCAGACACCAGAAACTGGGAAAGGCCCACAGGAGAAATCAACACCCCTGAGACCCTGATTGTGACTTTCAGACTTCAGAGTGGTGATAACATAAATTTCTGTTCTTTAAAGCCACCCACTTGTGGTATCTGTATCACAGCAGCCCTACGAAGCAAAGACATATCACGCCAACCTTGCGTTACTAAAATTAACCTAACTCAGTGCATTATTCTTTTGAAATACTGGTGAAATTTCTTTGCCAATATCTTATGTAGTTTGTTTTTAAATATCTTCATTTTAAGTAAAATCAGTTTTCATTTTTAGGTACTACCATTAGGTTATCGTGTTTGGCTATTAAAACGAATCGGGGAACTTTCCACCATTATAACCGGAGAAAGTTAACTTCAAAGATTAGAATGATCTACTTTAAAAGTTACATACGACTCAGCTGTGACCTCACTGGGCCCAGGTACCTTGTTCAATTAATCACCTTTCCGAGCTCTAACTACGGCCTAATTCGCATTTCCCACTCTGTCTTGGGTCAATTTAGATAAGCTGTATTTGACTAGGAAATCATCTCATTAAAGTGTTCAAACCGACTGGCAGACAGTTACAGCAGGATTTCCTGATGACACCTTCAATCTTTCATCTCTGCTCACGTCTACTCTCTCACTTCAATCTTGTCTATTTTGGCTGAAGTCTCCCTGCTGCCATTTGGGGGTGGGGGATCAGCTCATTGGGCCTCCGGTCAGTCATAGGACAGCCCCAAGTGTGGCCATCCCATAGGGGATGAGAAGTCGATGCTGTTTGTCCCAAAGGGGCAGACACAGTCCCTCTAGATATGGCGCTGGAAGGGCACTGTCCAGCAGAACTTTCTGTGATGACGGAAATGCTCTGCCTCTGTGGCGTCCAACATGGTAACCACCAGCTGCATGTGGCTATTGAGCACTTGCAATGTGGCTCTTGCACAGAAGAACTGACCTTGGAATTTTATTTACTTTAATTAAAATTTAAAGAGCCACACAGCCGCCACACGGGGCAGTGCAGACTGGAGGATGTCCCCTGCTCCCCGGCATCTCAGACTCCTGTAGCCTCGGGAAGTCAGCCCAGTCCCACAGGCCACCCTAACCTCCCGTCACCCTCTTGGGGCCCACAGAGCTGTGGCCACACTCTTTCCAGGATCCATAGCTTTCTGGGCTCCCCACACTGGTCTCGCCCAGCCTCAGTTTCCTCCACCAGGAACCCCGGAGTCCAAGGCCATACATGCCTTGGAGCCTTGGGCCTCAGAAGCTGTCTGGCTGAGGAGAGCCGGACTGAAATTGGAATTGAAAGTGGGAAGAAAAGAGCCATTGACGGTCACCATGTTCCCAGGGTCCCCCAGCCTTTCCTATATACTTCCTGGCACCTTCGTCTCTTACCTTGCTCCAGATCTCTTCTTGGGCTCAGAAGAAAGTCGCCGAGCAGACGCACACCAGGGAGAAGCCAGAGCCCGGGGCATGGTCCGCAGTGTCATTAGCGGGAGGCCAGAGAGGCGGTGACTGGCAGGGGTGGGCACGGCCAGCAGGCGTTTTGTACTCACGGGGGTCCTCGCACTGGGGAGAAGGCTTTGGGAGGTTGGCCCGGACCAGTGTCTGACGGGAGTGCTGTGGACAACCCTGGAGAAGACAAAGACAGAGAGTCTTCAGCAAAGATGATCTAAAAAAAATCTCATTATTTAGCCAACATGCTACTGCAATAGGAAGTCCTGAGGTTCACCAGAAGAGCTTCAAGCCAGGGGGGCCTGGGAAGTGCCCCTCTCCGAGAAGGGGGCCCCGAGACGGGCAGGGGCCAGAGCTGCTGCCAGCCCCATGAGGAACCTTGGCGTGCGCTTCAGGCTCCTGACAGGCAGCGCCGTCTCCCTCTCTCCTCACTGGGGACCAGAAGACGATCAGACCACATCTGAGTGCACTGTAAGGAAGGTGCCACGAACACACCCTTCCTGCAGATCCACGTCATCGTAAACGTTTGCGTCAGTGAGTCCAGGCCACGGCGGAGCCTCGGGGTGGACACACCAGCAGGTCTCGCCACCCGCTCGGTCACTGCCCAGTTGAAGGTCCCCCAGATCAAGTGTGAGCACAAGTGAGTAAAGCCAGGGACACTGGCCCTGTGTCTCATGCATCTCTCCTTTGGCCCCTGGCAACAGTCGTGGCTTTGACTGTGAATGTATCCTACCCAACTCCCGGTCTGTTTTGTTGTTGTTGTAGAGAAAGCAGAGAGACTGAGAAAAGCCAACTGTTCGTTTAAAATAAACAAGTCAGGAACATACTATCAACGCAGACCCCATGGGAGGTCTGGGGACGACACACCTGTCAGTCTGTCATCCATCAAGGACTATATTCTTCAAAGAGTCTGAGCAGTGGCGCCCAGGGCATTTTTAGGGCAGTGAGACTAATCTGTGTGGTACTGCAATGGTGGGCACAGGACTGCACAACAGAGTGAACCCTCATGGAAGCAATGGACTCGGTTAATGGTAATATATTCCTACTGGCTCGTCCGCTGTGACAGCTGTACCAAGGGACGCAAGATGTTAACAGCAGGGGAAACTGCGGGGGTGGGGAGGGGATATCTGAGCACTCTCCATACTTTCTGCTCAATTGTTTTGTTAAGCCTAAAGTTGCTCTAAAAAATAGTCTAACAGTTTTTTAAGTCTGAAAACAAACATAACTAACATTCACCGACAAAGCAAGGGGTGCTGTGAAGTCAAGCTAGCAGTGTACAGTCCGCTAGCGCTGTCACCGGAGAAGCACCACAGTGGATGTCTTCAACACAGAGAGGTTTATTCTCTCACAGTCCAGGAGGCTAGAAGTCCGGAAGCAGGGCGCCGGGCCCAGGGGAAGGCTTTCTCTCTCTGTCGGCTCTGGGGGAAGGTCCTTGTCATCAATCTTCCCCTCGTCTAGGAGCTTCTCAGCACAGGGACTCTCGGTCCAAAGGACGCGCTCTGCTCCTGGCATTACTTTCTTGGTGGTATGAGGTCCCCCTGTCTCTCTGCTTACTTCTCTGTTTTATACCTCAAGAGACTGACTCAAGATACAACCTAATCCTGTAGATTGAGTCCTGCCTCATTAACATAACTGCCTTTAATCCTGCCTCATTAACATCATAGAGGTTAGGATTTACAACACACAGGATAATCACATTAGATCACAAAATGGTCAATACCGGGAATCACGACCTAGCCAGGTTGACACATTTTGGGGGGACACAATTCAATCGATAACAACCACTTTCTCCAAAGTTCTGGAATCACTGCCTTGCTTCCTTTACTGCCAACTACCGGCAGCTCCACTGCAAAGCCCATTGAGAGTAAATGCAAATAGAGGCCTCAAAGTAGCCACGTGAGGTACGAGCAGCTTTCTCCTGTGACAGTGGGGAAAGTGGGGCGTGGGGTCGGGGGTGGTGTTAAAGCAGGCCAGGAAGGGGCTGGCCGGCTCCAGCTCTCACTTAGCCGTGGCCAAGGTCACATGTGCTCCTCCAGGCGGTGGGGTGACCGTACACCTGTGGAGGCCGCGTAGGGGGTTGGCGGGAGCTTCAGCCCATTCTTAGCAGTGCTGTAAAAAGAAGGGAAGCAGAGACCGCCTCCACTCACCTCCCAGCTGACGCACACGATTGTGGCCTCTGTTCCCTAGGGTGCTGCGGGGTTGCGCTGAACGGGGATTCACCTAGACGGGGAGAGCAAGAGGTGCCGTCAGTCAAGCGTGGCTCAGGAGGGAAACTGTCCTGGGATCATCACCCCATGGGCAAGCGTCCCATAAATGCCTCGTTTTCCCAACTTCAGCGAAGAGGCTCTGGAAGGTAGACAGGGCAGACAAGTCCCAGGAGTCAACCAGGCAGGTGCAGGAGTCACCAGGGTGAGGGGCCGCAGTGGGGGGCCTTCAGGGTCTGGCTGAAGGCTGCAGAAGAGAACGAGCCTCCCTCCCTACCCTGCCCTTCTCCTGGGCTGCTCACCCCACAGGACAGAAGCAGCTCCGGTGAGAAGGCAGGGCTTGGCCTGCAACTGAGTGCGGTCTGTCTGTGAGACCGCCCCCAGGAGCTCTCTAGACGCTCGCCCTGAGACTCCACTGTGAGGTGTGGCCCAGGCCAGCCCAGCAAAGCCACAAGCCTTCACGTATGAGAACCACAGCACTGCCAGGGTGATAACGCACCAGGGCGCTGACACGCTGTTCTACGGCCGGCAGAGCGCTTGCGTGTGTGCGATCGCAGCTGATCTTCACAGGGTGATGGAAGGCAGGCTTAGGGGCGAGCAATCCCGCAGTCACTGAGCAAGGCCCGGGCGAGGCCCCAGACGTCACCTCGCCACTGTTCACCGCACAACACAGCTCCACGTGAGCCAGCTCAACAAAGGCCCTCGCGGGTGTCAGCTTGAGGTGTCGCGACACGCCCTCCCCCCGCCCCAGAAAAGCCCTCGCCTGCTCAGAAGCTGTTATGGATTGAATTGTGTCCCCTGCAACGTGTTAGAATCCTGACCCCTGTACCTGCGACGCCGTTTGGGAATAGGTTGTGGGTTTCTTTGTTATGTTAGTCAGGCTGTAGCAGTGCAAGGCGGGTCCTGAACCTAATCCCTTCTAAGGAGCAGCACAGACAGACAAGCACCAATGGGGGGAAGACAGATGTCACGTGAAGATCGCCAAGGAACCCAGGAATGCTGGGACCGCAAAGCCGAGACATGGACTTTCCCTCAGAGCAGACAGAGAGCCTATCCCTAGGGCTGGGGCCCTGAATTTGGACTTCTAGCCTTCTGAACCGCGAGAAAACAAATTCCTGTTCTTTAAAGCCTCTGCTTGTGGTGTTTGTCACAGAGCATGAGGAGATGGAGACAGACGCCAAGGGTACTGAGGCTGTCCCCACAGCTCTTAGCCAAGGGTCGGGGGCGTGGGGCCCTGGAACGGAGGCCCTCTTCAGCGGGAGCTCTGAGGAAGCCTGGCAGCCGCCAGGGTCAAAGCCACAAACCAGCCCCTCCGCGGGATCCCTCCCAAATCCAAGGAACCTGGCCCCGCCCCTCCCACCCAAGTTCCTGTCCAATGTTGTTGCCCCTCTTCAGAGCAAAATCTTCTCAAAAGAGCTGCTAATCACCTCTCCTGCTCCACTTCTCATCTCCTGCTGTTTAAATTTGACTTTATCAAAGCGACTCAGGCACAGAGTTAAAAGAAAAGAAGGGTAAAATCTTACAAGACGCAACAGCCTCAGCAACACCCCATCCCCCCACCGCACTTGTTTTGCTGTTTCCTGCGGCATTTACCCTCAGATTTGTGAACCACACGCTGACAGCGCTCGCTCTTTTTTTTAATAATATTTTATTGTGCTTTCGGTGGAAGCAAATCAGGTTGCCGTTTGACCATTTCTACACAAGTCGTTCAGTGACGTTAGTTATCTTTCACAGTGTGTCCATATTCTCTTTAAATTGCGTTCTGATTGTTCCGTTTCTAGTCCTCTAGTCTCCCTGCCCCCTTATCTTCTCACCTTTGTCTTAGAGTAAACCTTCTGGTTTACACTGCTATTTCATTTCTCAAATTTTTTAGATGTCATGACAGATAAGAGCCTCGCTCCTTCACCTGCCCTCCCGCTAGTTAACCTGGCCCTCAGCGCCTCCACCATGACTGCAAATGTCATGCACAGCAGAATCAAAGGACGGACAACGACTGTGTGGCTCTTCTTGTGCTCCCATCCATCCCCCGCCTTGAGTCCTTAATAGTCGCCTGGTTTTGCTTTCTGGTTTTTGGCCCTGTGACATAACTGTCCCACAACCTCCATCAGTCTTTGGAAGCATCTTCCATGTGTTCACACCTCTCAGGTCACAGAGTCCACATTTTTCATAGAGGTCTCTGCTTGACACCTGAAACGGCTGTTCTTGGGCCCAGCTGCTGAGGTGTCCCTGGGACGTCCCTTCACTCTCATCCTAGGAATTCTTCTCAATGTTCTCCTGTGTTGGTTTCCCTAGTTCACGGGTCCCATTTCTTCCTCTTACTGTTTTATCTCTCATCAAATCCTCCAGTCACTTTCAAAAGTTACTTGGAGGATAATTGTTTTTATGAAATTTACATGTATTATCTTTATTATACCCTCACAATTGACCAAGGGTTAGTTTGAGCATAAAATTCTAGGTTGAAAAATCATTTCCTCCCAAAATGTTGAAGGTGTTATTCTACTGCAGCTTCTAATACTGTAAAGGCAAAGTCCAGTCATTCTGAGTCTCAGTCCTTTGTGTGATTCCCCCCTCCCCACCCCTTGGAAGCTTTTAGGATTTTCTCTATCCCTAGTGTTCTGAAATGTCAGAGGAATGTACCAGTAAAATTTAATGGAGCCTTCCAGTCCACGGCCTCGTGACTTTCAGCTCCAGAAAGTTTTCTTGCGCCATTTCTTTGATTACTTCCTCTGTGTCCATCCCTGCGACTCATGCACCTGGTCGCGTAAAACCATTCCTCTGTTTTCCTCTCTCTCTTTTCCTATTGTCCATCTCTCAGTCTTTCTGTATTGTTTTCCCGGAGATTCTTTCAACTGTAGTTGCTATTGTAACTTTTCTACTATAGGTTTTAATATCAAAGAGCTCTTTTTTATAGCCTCCTGTTCTTAATCCAAGCAGCAGTATCTTCTCATCCCTGATATTAATTGTAGACTTTGTGTTCTTTTCTGATCTCTGCATTGTCTGATTCCTCTGGGTTCCTGTTTTTGGTTTGTTTTCATCTGTCTCTCATAAGACACGTCTCTCATGTCTTCTTAAGTGTCTGGTGATCCCTGGCTGTCCATTCATATGACAGTAAGGCACCAAGAAGCTACTGGAGCTCTGTGTGCATGGGTGGGGCTTGGTGACTGACAGGCTTCACAGTGACTGAGCAGCTAGCTGGATTTTTCATGGGGAGATCCCCAAATGGCAGTATCCAGAGGTCTTTCCTTTGGGGTCAGTCAGTTTCTCCTGCCTGTCCGCTCTCCCTACATCTGTCCCGTCAGTGTCCTCATCAGCAAACAGCCAGGGCTCACCTACCTCCACCTCCACATGCCTCCCTGTTCAGACTATGGGGGCCTCACTGCAGTGGTTGAAGGTTCCAGTTCAAAGATATGTTTCTGTGTCTTGTTCTTGCTGTTTATGGGTCACCAAGTCCCCGTTAAGGAGCCCTGGTAGTGCAACAGTTAAGCACGCAGCTGCAGGAGAAAAGACCTGGCGATCTGCTCCTATAAAGATTACAGCCTAGAAAACCCTATGGGGGAGTTCTATTCTGTCACATGGGGTCGCTATGAATTGGTATCAACTTGACGGCGCCCAACAACGAGCCTTAACTTCTGGGACAAGGCAGCAAAAAGGTGTTTGCTACCTTAAAACTGGAAGGCCTTTCTCCTCATACTCCACTAGGTTGCACTGAAATAGCTTTCTGTCATCAAAGCCACCAGTGATTTCCAGGTTGCCCAGTACGATGGCCACCTCTCTGTCCTCGTCTTACTCAGCAACACCTGACAGCTGTCCCCTGGCTCCTTCCCTTCTTCCTCCTGGCTCCCTTCTCCCTCTTTATTCCTTCTCCTCTGGCCCAGGTCTGAATGTGAAAACAGCTCAGGGCTCAGCCCTGGGTCATCTGTTCTAACTCAGCTCACCCCTAGTCTTACAGACTTAAAAACTCCTGCCCCCTGGACAGCTACAGATTCACAATTAATAACACTATTTGTCACTGAATATTTTAAAAAATAATGCGACTTGTCTCTGGGATATTTTCTTTAAGGGGATACGTGTATGAAAGGCTCCATCCCAGGGCACTGGGAACGTTGTCCCCGCGCTCTGCGAGTTCTCAGGCTCGCCTCTGCTGACGACGGCCAGTGTCTCCGCTGGTGAGCGGCCGCACAGCACACCGCCCAGCTCCCAGCCAGAGCACCCCTGTTGCCCGTCATCTCAGCGTGCTGTGCTGGGTGACAGTGTGCGTTCCCCTCCTGGCCTCGCTCAGCTGACGCGGAGTCTGTGGGGACGGTTTTGACTCACGATGCATGATAAAAGGTGTGCAAGAGGCGGCCCTGTCACTGAAGCTGCAAAGAAAGAAGAAACAGCCTGCTGATTTCCGAAGTGCCTGAGGAGCCAGCAAGGACTCAGTCTAGGAAACGGAGTGAAGACAACAGGCAGTTACGGACTGGTAGAAGCCCTCTGACATCGAGCGGTTTGGCAGCCAGGGAGGACTGAGCAGCAACTGCAGGAATGAGCCGGAGGAAAAAGGGCCAGAGACAAGTCAGAGCTGCAGGCACAGAAAGGAAAGGAGGCAAACACTACCGAACACACCTCCAGGTGACCTGCGTAGGAGGTGCTCCCAGGAGATCCAACCAGCGAGAGCTCCTGTTTCTGGAAACACATCACGGTACCTTACGTACCCCAGGAGAAAACATTACCCGGTCCGGTGTTGTCTCTGTGATTATTGGTATATTTGAGCCCACTGTTGTGGCTACTGTGTCAACCCACCTCATGGAGCGTTTCCCTCATTTTTGCTGACCCTCTGCTTTACCAAACATGACGTCCTTTTCTAGCGATTGGTCTTCCCTGATGATGTGTCCCAAGTAAGTGAGCCCAAGTCTTGCCATCCTTGCTTCTAAGGAGCGTTCTGGTTGTATTTCTTCTAAGACTGATTTGTTGGCACCTCAAACTCAACATGTCCAAATGGGAGCTCTAGATTTCCCCTCCCTAAACTGCTCTTCCTCCAGCCCTCCCATCACAAAGAACAGCGACACCAGGTGTCCAGCCCTCCCGTCACAATGAACAGCGACACCAGGTGTCCAGCCCTCCCGTCACAAAGAACAGTGGCACCAGGTGTCCAGCCCT